AAAAAAAAAAAAAAAAAAAAAACAGACAAGATAAACAACCACATACCTGAAAGTCCAATCGAAATGTGGGGCTGAAAATTCATAGCTAAGTGCGTGCTCCAACTTCTGCCTACTTAGCAGATGCTAGCCGAAGAAATTGAACCAATTAAAAAAAAGGAGACCAACGGAAATTCACAAAGAGTGAAGCATTTGGGCAACTAACAAGTGCTCAATTCAATCGCATCAAAAACTTCGAAAAGAGAAAAAACACACACATACACGCTATCGTTTTGATATCGCATACAATTCAATAAACACACAGAGTATAGAGAGTATAGAATCAAGAATATGAGAAAATGATAATAATGGAATATGAGAAAATGATAATAATGGAGATTACTGAAGCATTTGGGCAACTAACAAGTGTTCAATTCAATCGCATCAAGTACTCCAAGAAGAAGAAAAAAAATACATACATACACGCTATCATTTTGATATTGCATTAAATTCAATAAACAAATAAGAGCATAGAATCAAGAATATGAGAAAACGATCAAAATGGAAAAAGAACCACTTTTTATTATGAAAAAAGAAAGAATGTTTGATTGATTGAGGTTTACTATCAATGAGAAAAAAAAAAAACTGAGCTATCGACTATCCTAATTGAGGCATAGATGAAATATATAAAATTAATGGATCCTAACATGAGAAACATCTTTGGGAGAGTAAAAAAAAATGGACATGTTACCACGGGCTCCTCATTGTGGCCAACAGAGAATATTTTTATTTCTTAACTTCGTTACTTTTTTGGTACTTGTAATTTTATTCTACTCCATTAAAGTTTTTTTTTTTTTTTTAAATGGGACTTTCAACATTTTGTTTGTGTCTAATAAGTCTTCGAATTACGAGAAGGCCATAAACTTTTAATCTTGTGTATAGTCACAATCATTTTAAAATTTAATAAGTCCTCGAGAAGGCCATAAACTTTCAATCTTGTGTACAGTCACAATCATTTTAAAATTCACCAAATCTATTGAAAGTTTAATAATTGTTAATATATACAATAATTTTATGACTAATAAACTAGTTAATTTCAGAAAATGTTAGAACATGCTACCGATCTATTAAACTTAAAAGAAGCCTACTAAACATAAATATAAAAGTATTTAAGGATGAAATTTATAGTTTAACAATTTTGCTATTGGCTCTTGATGTAACCAAAATTAGGGTTCCTTCTTATGTTTTTCTTATCTTTTGCCGTCATTAGGCCTTCAGTTTCGGTCACTTTCAGTCTAGTTTACTACAATGTTTTTTAGGTTGTGGGTCATTAGTAACTTGAGAGCCATAAACCTTATTACTTTTTGCAAATTTTGTTCTCTAAGAGTTGTAAGCCTAGACCAATCAAAGGTGAACAAACTTGTTGTGGAACGTTCAAATCTTAACTAAATATTTATTTTCTTATTCTGGACCAGTGATCACTACCTTCTATCTCGGGTTGAAATCAGTTCAATTTGAGTGTTCTAGATTTGTGTCAGGGGTCCTGAATACAAAGGTTTTTATTACTTGGCAAGCTAACGTCAAAGTGTATCTTCAAGGGAATGAAGCCAAATCAGTCATATAAAGGGTAGTATGGTACTCAACAGGCTGGTGGCTACTTCTTATATTTTCTGGATGTTGGACCCTACTGTGTTTTATTAAAATAAATGAATCCTCTAAATTATTCTCTTTTTTTCCAATCTTACAACGTTGAGTGCAGAGAGCCTCTAGATTCTAGTCACTTATACTCAACAATGCCACTAAAAATTAAAAGGCAAAACCTACTGAATAAGCAACTAAATATAAACGGCAATAGCATTAAACAAAAGTTACCAAATAATGATAAAAAAAAAAAATTTGCTGTGCATAGCGATGGAGTTTCCATGTTGATAGAACAAAAACAGTGAATATAAATTTTCTTTCCTTCATTTTAATTCTAGCGAGAATTAATTCTTTCGATGAAGGATTATATATGCATATATACAGGAGATGAACATTTGCCCGACCATATCACAAGCCTATCCTAAATGCATTTACTTCTACACACAGGTACGGAAAATTATGCTTCTAGGGGAGGGAGAGGGAAAAGGAGAGGTAGACTTCAGCAAAGAAATTACCTGGCGCTGCTCATCTCTTAGCTCATCTGATGACCTTACAGCTCCAGATTGAACTGTTCATTGCTAGATAGTAAGCTACATGTTAGTGAGACGGGAACAATAGGGGAATTATCGAGTTGTTAAAAACATCACCTAAATATTTGGACTCTTCCCCGGGAAGTTTGTAGACCTTTGAAAGAGAATAAATGCGCCACATTTCCATAATTCAATTCAGCAAGTTCTTCTTTACTGATGTCCAATAAAGATGCAACATAATCAAGGACAAGCATGTAATACGTTAAAGAAAAGAAAATGGAAAATGAACTAAGTCAAGATTAGAGATACGGACTTTTAATTTAAGAAACCAAACAAGGCCAGCACTATCCCCATTCTTGCTAAAGAGCAAGAAAGTTTATACATATAGGTTTTACCAGTATTAAAACCTGATATTGCAGATTATAAAATGCTATAAATGATCGGCAGAAAGCTGTTATGAAGCCTGTTGATATAATGAACCATGGTTTGCCAAGTTGTTAAGCCAACAATAGATGCCCCTTTCACTTTTTATTTTTTAATGATATTAGACGAACATGAATATCAATCAACCAGCTACGAATACAAGATTCGGTGAAGTACATTTTGGATGTCTGCTGGGTGATTGAGAATCTCTTTTGGCAGCATTGATGCATCTGTAAAAGAACAACGAATGTACTTTTTTTGTGAGCCTGTTGGGGCAGATTGTTCTCGGGTCTTAAGACATTCAGGAAGGGAAGGATCGCCTTCAACCAAATAGAGAGTCTAACTTTGACTTGGGAAGTGCTTAGGGTGCATCAGTCTCCAACAAAATCCTATCCGATGGCACCTGGAAAAATTCATGATGTTACAGCTATGAAGGATTTGGTGTGCTTCATTCTTTCAGATGGTGTATTCTAGATAGATGTTTTTACGACTTTTCAGTTATACAAGCCAACAGGATGAAATTGTTCGGACCAACTGGCTTTAGGAAGAATATTCCAATCCACCATCGTTTGTATTCACATATTCTTGTTTTGTATGCATATATCTTCTATTTTACGTACACACACAAGAATATCCAAGTTCAAGAAGGAGAAGGCACTAGTAACATGGATAAGCAACAAAGGTTCAGTATAAGTATCGGTTACTTTGTTCAGTCAGAATAATAGTCAACAACGATGGATTAGTAACTTCGGAAACCACCACAAAACATGATCTTAAGATGATTCCAGGAATACCGCTAGAAGAATAAAATAATTATCTAGAAAAGAATCATCTTATTCTCAATTTCTTCTCTGTTTTTTTCCCGTATTTCATCTAAAAATGAAATTTAGAACTTTAATTCCTAATAAAATATCTAAATCTCAAATTGATCTTCAAGGATACAGGTTTGGCTACAACTACCAACCTCTCCGACTGCTGCCTTTGATACAGCTTCAAAAAATCTCTTAAGTGTTTCAAGCCAGCCAGGAGTTCTTTCAGTAATTAATTGAGATACATTTATCAAATATCTTTGGATCTTGGAGGTGACAATGAGAATCAAAAGTCTCAATGTAGCAGACAATTACTTGAGTTCTTATGTCAGGAAACCAGATCTTAGACACTCAAAACAGATCCAAGACGAAGAGTTTGTTCTTATGTCAGCAAAAGAATATCAACTTACAGATTCTTCAAAATGTAATTAATCTTTTCAAGAAAATTCGTAAGAATATTTCCTGTTCAGAGAAAACCTACAGCTTCAATTACAGTATAAGCTTTAAGAAACTGGAAACTGCGATAGAGAAAACATAAGCAAAATCCAACAGCTAGAGCAGTACTTTCAATTTCCATTTGTGGATGATTAACTTCAAATTTAAAAGCCTGTTTCCGTTTAAATTTGATACTTCATAATGTAAGTTACCACGTCGAGACAGAGCATGAGAACATTTCCTTCTAGAGAAAACCTAATACTATAGTTACTGCAGAAGATTTAAGAACTTGGAGAATTTTAGCGAGCGAAGGAGACATACGAAAAATCGCACAGCGAGCACAGTACCTTCTTTATCCAACTACGAAGGATTTCAACTCATTTCAGTTCATTTCTTCATTATGTAAGTTATATATCAAGAATGCACGTAAGAAGATTTCCTGATCAGAGAAAACCTACGACTTCATTTACAGAAAATTTGAGAAACTGAAGAACGAGCGAGCGAGAGAGCGAGAGACAGAAATCACAAAGCTAACACAGTACCTTCGCCTTCCAATCACGAGCCCGAAGAACGAAGCGAAAACCAGAAACAAACCGAAAACGCGATCGATTTCAAAACAAGAAGAATATTTCGTCAAAATAAAGATCCAATTAAAACGTCTGATTAAATAAACGGTAGAGAAGAAAACTCAAACAAGAACACGAAGAAACAGAATGCAATAAACTTCAAGACAATGTCAAAGGCCGATGATACCTCGTCGAACGATGGAAGCAGAGCTTGGTTTCAGAAACCGCCTTCTGGCAAAGTAGAGCGCGCGCTTCCAACGTTGCCGCGTAGCTCTCCTGAATCATTTGAAAAGTGAGCTTTTAAGAGAAAAGAATATATATATAGGATTAAATTTCCCTATTTTTCTATTTTGACCCCCAAATTTTCAAAATATTGATTTTTGACCCTTTTGTAAGATTATTTTCACTTTAGTTCTGAAACTTACAATTATACATATTCAAGTGAATATATTAATATAAAGTATATGAATTATTTAAAATCATATAATAAAATAAACAAGTTTCATTTTCTTTCATATAAAAATAAAAGAAATATATATATATATATATATATATATATATATATGAGATGATTTTCAAGCATCAACAGCTCAAACCCTTGTGAGAAGTTGCATCTTCAAGTTGGAACCAGCTTTGCCAATTGCAAAATGGAATCAAGTTATCAAAAAAAAAAAAATCATATTATTAAAATGAATATGCGTAATTGAAATATAACGATAATACTTCATTATGCTCGTGTTCTTAAATTAAGAGAGATTTAGCTTATATTCTTGTAACAACCCAGCCTGAATCCATTGCTAGTAGATATTGTTTGTTTTAGCCCGTTACGTATTGTGCTCAATTTTCAACGCCCTTATAAGAATGTTTCGTTCCTCTCTCCAACCAACGTGGGATCTCACAATCCACCCTCTTTGGGTGTTAGCATCTTCGCTAGCACACCGCCCGATGTCTGACCCTAATACCATCTGTAATTGTATCTCACAATCTACCCCTCTTGGGGGCCATCATCCTCGCTGGCACACCGCCCCAATATCTAGCTCTGATACTATTTGTAACAGCTTAAGCTACCACTAGCATATATTATCTGTTTAGCCCGTTATATGTTGTCGTTAGCCTCATGATTTTAAAATGCGTCTACTAGGGAGAAGTTTACACACCCTTATAAGGAATATGTTTCACTTCCCTCTCGAACCAATGTTGAACTCACAATTCTAGACATTTAGCCTATCTCGAGCCACCAAATTTACTAACTCTATCAGGTGTATACATTCAAATCAGGAGCTTATTAAATTCATTATTTATATAATATGTCACATTATATAATTAAAATAAGATATTGATTTTTGTATTACCTAATTTGAAAATCCAACCCATCAAAGCTAAATCTTTGAATGTTTGGACCAAAAGCAACACCATATGCTCATGCTTTGAATGAACATAGCAAATCTATATTGCACATGTATTCACATGATGCTTAGGGCTTTACCCAATTGCCCATCACTTTCTCTTATTTTTTTTAAATGCCATTTTTAAAATTTTTAAATAATAATAATAATGATGATGATGTCATCATCTTTTATTTTTTAATTATTTTAAAAAATAAATAAAATCTCCTTTTTTTTTTAATTATTTAAAAATGAATCATTAATTTTGAAAGAAACGAGTCTAAGTCAACTTCACACCTTCTCTAATTATGAATTTGAATTCAAAACATCATTAACCCAACTCAAAATCCCTCTCTTCATATTTCAAAAAATAAATATTTTTTTAAAATAAAATAAAATAAACTCCTCTCAGCCAACCCCACCGAAGGGGACAAAGATGTCCATGTTCGAGTTCTTGTGTCCTTTTCGGTCATTAAATAAATAAATATTTTTTTTTGTCATTTTTTAAAAGGAAAAACTAATAAATTAAACTTTTAAATCCTATATACTACAAATAAATAAACATTTTCCATTAGCGCTTACTTCCTCCGTTGTAGTATATATATAAAAACCATGCATTTCCAAATTGGAGTAAAAATAACAAAAAAGAAAAACGAAAAAGCTTTGAAGCTTGCTTGATTGCTTGTCAATGGCGGAGCTAGAGGACCCAATTGTCATGGCGAAGCTGATCGATTTCCTCTCTTGTCTCCTCCAACGAGTGGCCGAATCCAATGATCGAAGCCTCTCTGTTCATCTTCAACCCCACAAAATCTCAGCCTTCCATGGCTTAACTCGCCCCACCATTTCCATCCAAAGCTACTTAGACAGAATCTTGAAGTACGCCAATTGCAGCCCCTGTTGCTTCGTCATTGCCTACGTTTATCTCGATCGCTTCGTTCAAAGACAACCCTCCTTCCCCATCAATTCCTTCAATGTTCATCGCTTGCTCATCACCAGCGTTCTTATTGCTGCTAAATTTATGGATGATACGTGAGTTTCTAATCTGCTTGACAGGGATTTTTTGAATATTTGGGGCATTTTTGAGTTTGCCTGCCAAATGTTTGATGAAATGCCTGAATGAACTCTGTTCAAGAATTTGGGGCATTTTTGAGTTTGCCTGCCAAGTGTTTGATGAAATGCCTGAATGAACTCTGTTTAAGAATTTGGGGAATTTGAGTTGAATTTTACTGAAATATGTAGTGGAATTCTTTTCAGGTGCTATAACAATGCATATTATGCAAAGGTGGGAGGGATCAGCACAATAGAAATGAACTTTCTTGAAGTGGATTTTCTGTTTGGTTTGGGGTTTCGTTTGAATGTCACTCCCACCACGTTCCATTCTTATTACTCATATCTTCAAAGACAAATGCTTCTGCTGCAGCCTCCTCTGATGAGCGCTGCTTCTTCAAAATCAGAGCTGCTTAGTTCAGCAAGAGCTTTGAAATCCCACTTCTGTTTTGATGAAGATGAAGCTTCCCTTACGAAGCAACAACTTGCAGCTGTTTGAACAAATTCCAACACAAATTTGGACTCAAACTTTGAAGAATTCAGCCCAAATGGAGCAAAACCCAGGTTTCAAAAGCATGAATTGGTTCTGTTGTTTGCCTGATTAGATAGTAATATTCAGCCTCTGACTGGATGAGCCTGTAATGTAGGGGTATCTCTCTCACACACACACACACCAACACAGCTTTGCAATTTTGGCTATGGCTGATTTGGGTCCTCGCCCTTTCATGATCGTCAGATCTTTGTTCTGTTTCTGATCTGTTTCTGTTCTGTTTGTGAGTTCTTGGGTTTCAAATCGTGTACAGATTAGATTCTTCTGGCGTTTTTAAAGATTTTGCAGCGTTTTGATGGAAATGGTATGGTTATTGAACACTGGAAGTCTCTGGTTTTGAGTTGATAATTTAAAAAAAAAAAAAAAAAAAAAAAAAAAAAAAAAAAAAAAAAAAAAAAAAAAAAAAAAAAAAAAAAAAAAAAAAAAAAAAAAAAAAAAAAAAAAAA